CAAGGTATGGTCAAATGGCTTTGTAAGAGAACCCAACTCCCCTTGAACTTCTCGTTTCAGAAATGCCTGGGTGTGATGACGGAACCAATACTGCAGGCAGCTCTGTCCACAGTGGTGGGAGTGGCACTGCTAGCACTCGTTCCATCCTACCTTGTACGAACTTTCGTAATGACTGTGTTCGCAGTCGTTGTCATTGGGGTCCTGCACGGACTACTTTTCGTCCCAGTGCTGCTTGCAGTCATGGTCGGTTTCCTTTCTTTACTTTGGATGTTTCTAACTTGTTGCTAGGTTTATTGCCTCAGCCAGCGATGCGAAGGTCACCACAAGAATACTAGTTCACGGGTACCTTCCGGGTGGACCCATGCCTTGCGAGGGCCACGCCCCACTCAGAGGTGTAAACTTCGTTAACCTGGTACTTGTTATATGTGAGATGAAAAAATAGATCCGCACCAGCTGTTGCGTGCCACTTTCTCCACTAAGGAATGCATGGGAAAGTAGCTGGAGGAGAACGACGCCTAGGTGCCGTCTCCGTATCCCACCCGCGCTGTCACAGCCAGCCACGCCTAACCATAATCAAACGCGCTACTTTTTGGGCCATCTTGCTTTTGCTTGCTATCTGCCACTGAGTGCGTGCTGCACGTCGAGGATATCACGAGCGAAGTCAGGAGAAGGCATCAGTATATCACCATCCTCCCGCTTCCCGTCTGCACAAGAGCGGAGAAAGTGGCACGGTCCTACACCTGCGGACCCATAATAAGCACGTCTTCTTCCTCCTCTACGTCACCACTTCCCGATGCTTGAAGATAACTCGCTACATTGCTGAGCATTCTGGCTCTCTCTCTCTGACTGTGATGATAGGACGCATGGCGATAGAAAACACGTTGCTCTTCTCTTACCACTGCCTTTGGAGACACCCCTGCTCCCGGGAGACGTAGAAAAAATCCAATACCTTGTACAACAAAGCGGCTCTCTGACCAGGATCCGCGCAGTACTGCCAAACCGGGGACCCTCCCATCTACAATGTCCCTCTCGCCCTCTCTATATCGATGAAACTGAACACTTAGCCGCTGAGGAATCCCAGCGCACGGCGTGTCCTTTGCGGTTCTCCCGTAAGGGGAAAGGTCACGCTCATTCTGTGTACACGTTATGGTTTGGAGGTTTGAAGGGTGAGGCGGAGAATCCTTATGCAAAGACGTCTGGGAGGGAGAACGATGTACACTCCATTCTCGCGAGACCAGCGTATAAGGCGGCTCCAGTTAGAGAGGCGCGCCAGTTTTCGGGCATGGCCCTTATTGTTAGGCAAAGTAAATCACATG